ATTATGCATTATTATGCCTTTAAGTTGTAATGGTAAAAAATGCATCAATGGATAAGAGAAATTGGCACATTGGCTTATTAATGCATCAGAAGAGACATGTGTTAGCTTTGAATTAGTGTGAGACACTTTACAAAGACACAAGGGTACCAAGTTAACACTAATCTCAATGGAACCAATGACTCTTTTATTCCTTATGCAAATCAATCTATAATCCATGTAATTAATTGGAGTGACTGCACGACTTGATAAAACTACTAACACTCAAGGTGCTACTGCACAAATGGCTAACCATCAAAAATATAATAAAATAAAATAAAATAATCAGTTCCTTCGATGCCTTTTTATGTGCCTAACATTTTCTTAAAAAACCACTCAATATCCTACTTTTATTGTGGTGCTGCTAGTAGTTACTGCAGTAATTGTTATTGGGGCAACTTTGTAAATTTTGCAACTATTTTGTAATTGTGCTGATATGCAGTAATTCCTTGTTTATATATATATATATATATTGAACAATGAAAAAAATGTTGTGGTAGTCGTAACAAAAAGAATATTTTCGCTAAAAATAAAAATAAAACCTGTATGTTTTCCAAGTAATCACTTACTTGGCCTTCCATCCATTGGCCATTCTCTATGTTATGACTTAGGTTAGGCAACAGATTGGGGAATCTCTAAACATCCACATGCACCAATCATTGCATCATCTTTGCTTTAGCCACTTCATCTCTTTATGTTTACTCTAATTATATATATATATATATATATATATGTATATATTTATCTGAATGACTAAAGCAAACATGGCTATTGGCAACTTGCTGGTACAACTCTGGACAAAGCTTTTTTAACGTGGTACAAAAATAAATAGATAATAAATAAACTGCAATATCACAAGTGGGATTTGAGAGGCACATGGTAGTTGCAAATGACAGTCTTTTTCTATTTTTTTTCATTTACTTTTTCTCTGTATTCTTTGGTTATGGATTGCTTATGGAGAAATACATACACACATACAAATAAAAAGCATGCTTCTAAACTTTAGATATATATATATATATGAATACACATACATGCATAATTGCAATTACATATATTTTGAAATATACTTTTTAAATGACTTACATTCAAAGAGGATTTTTTTTTTTTTTTTTTTTTTTTCTAATTCTGGTATTTATAACCCTGAAAATATAAAACTTATATAAATTCCAAGACTTGCAAACTGCAAGAACCATCCCCCGTCTTGCATAATTATGAATCATAATATGGATCTCCAGATAAGGTTCTCATGAAATGTATTGGACAAAAAATAAAAAATAACAAAAAAAAATTCCACAACAACACCATATATTTGCTTATGTATAGACCTACACATAAACACATGCATGAAATAAGTTGTTCATTATAGTGTCAAGCCAATTCACCAATATTCATTATATTTCAAACATCAGGTTGGAAGTTGCACCTTTTTTCAATACTAAACAATGCATGGGAACCAACATGAATGAAAGGAATGATGCAAAAATTGTGGTTCCCAAACATTCAGCTGTCTCATAATAATGTGATGGGAACCAAAAAGACTGAATGAGTGGAGCTTGGTTCCCAGGGTCAAGGGGACAGGAGGACAACATTAGCACTATGGCAGCCTTTGTCAGTCCATGGGATTGATTTCTTGACCTCATTCATTCCTCTTTTAGAAATGAATGCAAATCCCAGAGTTTAATTTATGAATGGGAACCATAAAAAGACTATGGACAATTTTGCAAAAAGGTTTTCAGTTTCCAATGCATTTATTTATAATAAAAATGAGAATCCAAGGCCACTTTCCCTTCGAGTGTTTGTTTCAGGAGATGGGAAGAAATTTGGGGGCAAGTTTGTATTAATGCATGCGAGTGGAGCTTTTGAGTCATGGGTTCCAATGCAATGCATTCTGAGCCCAAGAATTGAGACCCATCAAAGAAACTTTTGAGTTCTGTGCATATAAAGGATAATCCAAGGCAAAAAGGGAGAAAAATAAATAAAAATTATGGAGGGTTAAAGTTGAAGCATTTAAAACTTTTTTTTCTCTCTTTGTATATGTCTTTTTCCACATTTTGAGTGGTAATGATGGATTCTCAAGTGCATGATGTTTTATTATTATTAATACTTTTTTAGAACTGATCAGATTGATTGTTTTCCATAAAAGCATGTTCTCAAGCATTGCAAAAATGGCAATAGATCATATCATTACCATAAATGAATAGCAGTGTTAGCACCATCTTGTTTTGTGAACCTTTTCTTCTTCTTCTTCTTCTTTTTTGTTCCTTTTCCCCCTTTTTTTGTTTTTAAATATTTTATGATTATTGAATAAAACAGTATCAAATGTCCCAACTTTATGATCTGCCCACTATCATTATCCACAGTTGTTGACATTATTGTTCTTTTTATGTTTTAACCAATTTTAGTGAAAAAAATAAGATTTGCATTCACTTATTTATTATTTAACTTCAAACGGCAGAGAAATCTAAAAGAAAAATATCTTGTCAGATTGCAACAGCAATTTGATTCAAACATCCAATACTTTTTTCAATATGTATGTATGTATATATATATATATATATATATATCACATTTTCCCGAAACTTATCAGATTTAGAGTTTAATGTCTTTTTATTTTGTTTAATTTCTTTATCATATTACATGTTTTTCTCAGAACCAAGGTTTCAACACCAATCACTCATGGATCTGCACCTCCACAAGGAATCCATATTCTTTACAGCCAAAATATCTTACATGTACTAATTATTTGTTGTATGGCTTCATTGAATAGTTATACATGAAAACTTAAATAAATAATACAGCTTGAAATATGAAAAATATATGTGTATGTGTGTCATAATCATAAAAAAATTAACCACACTAATCCATGGAAACCATCCATTCATTACAATTTCCTACATTATTATTATTGTTGATGCAACAACTGGATGTATTATAAAATATTTTTCTTGCTCTAATAAATCTCTTAATGTAAAATCATAAATTGAATCAAGAAAATAAAATTTCTCTTTGTAGGTAATATTTTCAACAACAGTTAAACCTATTTACATGCTAAATTAAATAAATTTTAATGTAGCACACCTATTTGTTTATTCAGTTAAAACATTCATTCATTCTTCACTGCCTGTTTATTCTATATTATGCCATCAATAAACAACATTAAATTTCTTTCCCTACTTTTGGAGTATTTATCAACAAACACTTTAATAATTTAGTATTTGTATCACTGACATCATCACATCACATTATATGGAAGGGCAAGTGGTGATTAGAGTATAGAATGGGCAAGGATGGGAAAGAATAAAAATAATAATAAAGATCTCCCTCACGTGGTTGACCAAGTCTGTTGTGGCACGTCAGGGACGGTAGTCCTCAATCACTGAACTCAATGTATGATGACAGGAGCAAGCTCACTCTCCCTCAATCCTTCTTGTGGGTGTGGTGGAAAGAAGGAAAAGCAGGCAGGTACAAAGGGAAGGAAGGAAGGGAGCAAGGAAGGGAGGCCAGACTGAGAGAAGGGGGAAAACGTGGGTGGGGGGCTGAGATTGCAAAGCCCATACATTCTCATATCATATGGCTGGCTGACTCCATACCTACTTGGGTGTTGGGTGTTGTTGTGCTTGCATTGCATTGCATTGCATTGCAAGCAGGCAGGCAGGCAGGCAGGGTGCTAGCTTGTTATCTATTTCTATTTGACTGGGATGATGGTATTGCCACTGCTACTACCCTGTGACTCAGCTTTCAAACAGTCTACAGCTGCATCTCAGCAGCTCAGCTTGGCACTGGGGCCAAGTCCCACCCACCCCATATTCATTCTCCTCCAATTCTTCACCCTACTCATGTTCAATTCCAGATGGAAACATGAGCCATGCTCCCCTAGTAATCATAGAAATCTTTATCCAAAAATAACATTACTAAAAAGAAAAGGTAAGGAAAAAGCAAAAATAAACAAAATAAATGTTTATATATATATATATATATATATATAGTCTTGGAAAAAGAAGGACAGGAAAGGGAAAAGAGGACACCTTGTGGTTCCAAACCCACCACAAAAGTTTCTGAATACATTTTAATGCATTTTATGTACTTTATTATTGTTGTTTTGGATAGAACATAAATATGATGTTAGAAAAAGTGTGTGTGTGTGTGTGTGTGTTTTTTGACAACTGTACTATTCACAAGACCTTTTTTTCTAAATGATTACTTCACACTCCAATTGTAGCTCCAGCAACCATTTTAAATATATGTATGTGTGTCACACATTTTGATCATTTGTTTGATTGCAAGATGGATGGTGCATTGCAACAACAAAGGAGAGAAACCATGGAACATTATCCATTAGAAAGGCATGGTTATATTTCATGTTCTCTCTGCATTATGCAACAAACATCTCTGTGGCTGCGTGGAGCCTGCAGAGCGAATGAATAAGCAAAGCAGATGATGGATGAGAACTAGGGAGCTGGAAATGGATGAATGACGGGTCGGGGGGGGGGAGGGTGTCATGGAAAGGGTAAAGGGGAACGGAAAGGGAGGCTAGGGGGGGGGAGGGCATTGCGGCGGGGTCACACAGCTTCTTCCAGATTCGAAGAAGGCGCTGCTGTTCCAGTAGAGTAGTAGTGGCAACTTATTAGAAGAGCCAGCCAGCAGCGTAGCCTCCCTAGCCCTCCAACCCAAAGCCCCTTTCATGGTCAGCAGCCGACCATTTTCCTTTTTCTTTCGATTGATTTTAGGGATTCCCTTTCTAGTGAACTGACTGGACGGATCGTGTCGTTGTATATTTTTTCAATTCTGCCTCGCTCTTTGTTTTCTTGAAGCGATGGATCTTGCGACTGAGGTTGGGAGGTGCTGATGCCGCTCTTTTTGGTTTTTATTTTTATTTTTATTTTTATATATTTTTTTCAGTTTTTTTTATTCCTGCCTTGAAAGAATTGAATTATGATGAGACTTCTGTAGTTCCGAGCTTTTCTGCGGTTTGATTTGTGTAAGTTAAGTAGCAGGACAGTTTTAGCCGTAAAATTGTGTCTCTGAAGGCGACGAGGAGCCTGACGGAGGTGGTGGTGCTGTTGTGCTGTGCTGTGCTGTAGTTCATAGGTTGGCAAAGCCTGGACGAGGATATTTTTTTCTGTCGAGAAGAGAGAAGCGATGGTCACAAACCAGCTGCCAGGCTCCAGGAGCGGTGTGGTGAGGAGTCGCTTTAGTGAAGACCATCTCTCTCGGTCGACGATTTTCCTCCGCAAGTTTGTAGACCTCATTGCCGTCTTCTTCCTTTCCTTTCCCAACCTTACTTTCATAAGCGGTGTAGAGGAGTCCAGCACCTAGGGTTGTGATTTCAGAGAGGAGAGTATTGGAGACAAGAGAGTCCGAGAGAGCACGTGCGAGTGAGAAGCAGCAGCTGAGGCACCGTGGTTTCTGAAACTCGTCCGGTCCGTTCATCCTTTCCTCCTTGTCCTGGACCTCATCGCCATGTAGAGTTTCTCCACTTTTGCAATGTCCTCTACATTCTCCTCCACTTCCCATTCAGTGAAGTTTGTGTGTGTATCCAAGTTGCACGTATCCTGTGGACCGGCCGGTGTGTCCTAGTGCAAACATTGCTCGGCTGACCGTCGACCGAATCGTTCTTCTTTCACTTATAGTATCAATTTCCTCGTTTGATTAGTGTCCTACTTTGCTGTAGTCATCTGGTCCAACTCCTCCGAACGTGCCTGTCTCTTCCAACTTCCCTATCTCTCACTTCGAGCGGATGACTGTAGTATGAGTTTGGAAAGTGTATTGATATTGTATCTCAATAGTTTGAAGTTTCTGCGTGTCTTGTGCTACACATTTTTTTCCCTTCAGGATGGCTACGCTGCATTTCAGATATTTGCATTGTTGATGCAGTGATGAATTTCTGGCTCTGCATGCGCGCCTCGTCGTTCCTTTCGTTCAGATATTATCCATTGTGGAGCAGGAAGTCTACCTGGTAGACTAAGGTGGCTACCTTAACTTCAATCTCTTCGTTCATGAGTGGTGGTTGTCAGTAGGCTGGGATATTGTACATGTGCTGGTTGTCACTGTGGGCTGTATGGTGGTATGGTTCAGCTGGACGGGTTATTGTAGATTTGAACCTTTTGCAAGGAAGTTTGCGCTCGGCTGAAATCTGGTTTGCGAAGCAATAGTGCTCCAGTTCTTTCCCTGAAGGAATCCAGACTTTGTCAGGCTGTTGGTCTGTTTTGTCCTGTCCAAAACCTTAACTCTATTTTCAGTGAGGCTGAGGGCTTCTTGAGAAGTTCTTCTTGAATGGTGATTTCAGCCTGGTCTAAGTTTCGTGGCCGGGTGCTCCGGTTAAAAGTTGTTGGTAAACTGAAATGTAGGACAGTTCTGGAGGATTGTCAATCCTGTGTCTTCTTGCCATTCAAGTTGCTAGATACTGAAGCGTTGTAAAGGATTGATTGTGACATACATTACAACTAGTTTACATTTTAACTTCCTGAAACTCACTGAACAAGCGTCTTTAAATATTTGAGTATAGCTCTCGAATGGAATCGAGAGTCGTTACAGGAAGAGAGTTTTAGAGGTACAACAAGGTTGATCGAACTGTGTGGAGAGATATTATTGACAGAGGGGAGGCGTATGCCGTACTCTCTGACAATAAAGGCCTCACAGAAAACGAAACAAGTATGGGAAGGAGACGAAAGTTCCGTTCCCACCAGTACACCTCAACGTCGATCCTCTCTTTCTTTCTTGGGAGAACTGAACTGTAGGCCTTCCAATCTAATTCGAACTACTAGTCTTACTGAGGATGAGGCCAAGCATGATCTTTCAGTCCCGAAAGTGAGCCTCACTCCATCTGTCACGTCTGCTCGGGTGGAACGTTTGGTCAGGGAGCGCCAGCTGAGAAGGAGCGGAAGCTGTTATACGCTTGGTGATGAAGTTGATGCGAAAAGTGAGGCCCTGGGGGGGAATGGGGGAATGGTTGGCGGCGGCGGGAACAGAATGGGGGAATGGTGGGCGGCTACTGAACCCCAGAGCAGTCACAGCAAAGCAGGTGCACATATGGACAACTACGAAGGTTCTAGGAACCTGAATGAAAAGCTCCACCCAAGTAAACAAAGATTACTGGTGGTTGCCAATCGCCTTCCTGTTTCTGCAATTCGCCTGGAGGGGGACAAGTGGGATTTGCAGTTGAGTGCCGGGGGGCTCGTGAGTGCACTCTTGGGTATGGTCCTTGAAACCCATAAATTTTAATAAAGGAACACTATTTAGCCACGTTGGTGTTTCTATTAAAACTCCATACATAATGTGTTGCGTGAACAGTGATGTGCCATATATTTTAGATATATATTATGATTGATGCATATATAAACTTGGTCTTGATTCTCGTGTGATTACGACAAAGTACGTAGTGTCGGGATTCAATAGACAGAGAACCGGGTTCCAAATCCAGGTAGCTGCAACTCTATGCTATCGTGCTTGCACTTTTGATCTCCAGGAATTCCTTCATCACTTCACACTGTTTTTAAGATTTGGTTTCACTGGATTGTGCACGATGAGTTCAGGCGCCTTTTATACACATTAGGTCTGATTATATACAGCTTGATCAGTAATATGAACAATGTCGTGCAGGTGTGAAGCATAGTTTCGAAACAAGGTGGATTGGATGGCCAGGTGTCAGTGTGCATGATGAGAAAGGGCGTGCTTCGTTGACGGAGGCATTAGCTTTGAAGGTTGGTCCTGTGATCTTTGATATATGCTTAGTTTGGATTAATCTTGTTTGCGCAGCAGGAAAGAGCTTTGGTTGCATGGCACTTGTTTGGTCTGGTGTTTGCCTTTCGCCCAACAGCGTCTTTTCCTGAGATTCAAGCGGCAATAACTCGTGTTCCTGCCAGTGTCAGATTATTTTATTATTATTATTTTTTGCATTGACATACACTGATTCCGTGGAACAATTCTTATGTGTCTACCTTGTGAGTTTCAGGGTTGCGTTCCAGTGTTTCTAGACGATGATACGGTAGATCAATATTACAATGGCTACTGCAACAATGTGCTTTGGCCTCTCTTCCACTACATTGGACTGCCTCAGGCGGATCGGCTCGCTGCAACCAGGAGCTTGGATTCGCAATTTCAAGCTTATCAGCACGCAAATAGTTTGTTCGCTAAGATTGTTTTTTCACAATATCAAGTAAGTTGTACTCTCTTCTACCAGAATTGACTATCCTGGTCGCGAGCGATTGCATGTTTTTCATATTTACTATTACTGGCAGCACTTGAGCTGTCGTTATCTACTTCCTTGACTTTTCTTTGCGCTTGATTATCTCTAGTCTGTCTAGTTTCACACTCATGCTGGAAATTTTTATCGATGTGGTCGGATCACATAGAATTTGTGCAGCGGATTGTTGTTGTACTGCGCATACAAACAGGGCTATGCTTGTGTTTGGTGGGTGCAATGTAGTATGTTGGGTTTTTGAGATCATGAATTCGTCGATCAACAATTTGCAAGGAGCTATTTTTCAGGCATATTGGTTTAGAATCAGTCAGATTGTCTCAATCGTCTGTCTGAGTCTTCAGAACAAGACCAGCAATCATTCACCTTCCATGAGTAGAAGTAATTTGAAGTCGTTAGAGACACATGTGTTGATAACATCCTTTCTGTTTTTGTTAACAGGAGGGTGATGTGGTCTGGTGTCACGATTACCACCTCATGTGCCTCCCACAAAAATTGAAGGAGTTAAATCCTCACATGAAAGTGGGATGGTTCTTGCACACACCATTCCCTTCCTCTGAAATATATCGGACTTTGCCACTACGTTCAGAGTTATTGAAGGCTGTGCTCACTGCAGATCTCATTGGGTGGGTGCTATTTGCACCTTTGTCTCTTGATGCAACACTTGAAGTAGGAATTGTGCAGTGTGGCGAATCCGTTGAAAGAAAGCAGTTTGTTTATTTTCATGCGAGTGAAGTTGTGACTACAACTGTTGGGTTGTCAACTCCACTCTACTCTTTAGTTTATTGTGTAGTTTTAGTATGAACTGGTTCAGCTGAACTCGAGTTCCTATTTTAGCTATTAGAGTGTGTGACTTGGAACATTTCATGTGGTGCAATGCAGATTTCATACTTATGACTACGCAAGACATTTTGTGAGCGCATGTACACGCATTTTGGGGCTGGAGGGTACTCCAGAAGGTGTCGAGGACCAAGGAAAGCTTACTCGTGTTGCAGCTGTATGATTCTCTCATCTACTGTTCCTGTATGATAGGGGATAGGAAGAAGCTGTGCGTCGGTGCACGTTTGGAGTTAAACATCGTTTACAGAAGCTAGTGTCACTACTTTCACTTCCTTCTCCGCCATATGCTGGTACTCTGGTGATGTTGTAGTGAAGGTGGCAGTGCTTAAAATGTGGTGAAACCTTCTTCCACAGTGGATTAAGAAAACCTAATTGCTTGCTTTGCAGTTTCCTATAGGTATCGATCCTGAGAGGTTCATTTCAGCTCTAGAAACAGAGCAGGTGAAGCTCCATGTGAAGGAGTTGTTGCGTTTCTTTGCAGGCAGGAAGGTAAGTATTATATTCGATGAGCAAGTTTGTATCAGCTGTCAAGAAACAGGGCTTCAATAAGCCTTTCTAGGGTTTTGGATATTGAAGTGCGATATCATCTTTTTAAAATATTCGACTCTGGCCGGGCAGACCTTGGATCTGGCTTGAGAGGTCTTTTTCCTCGATAAGCAAAATGTCTTCGTACAAATTTGGGGTAGTAGTTGTCCTTTTAGTAGACGATTAACATGGTGTTTCATAACTCACGAGTGGCGTTTAGATGCTTATGATGGTTACTTTTCGCACTACTAAGGCTATTAAGACAACATTTTGAAGTAGAGTGTAATCAATGCCGTCGTTATGCGGAGAAGGATTGTCACCTTTGCACCGGAAGAATTAACTCTTCGATCGGCATCCTAATGAAATTGGATGAGTCGCCTTGCTTTATGGTCTTTTAAACTTACGTTTGTAATTTTTAACAGGTGATGTTGGGTGTTGATCGTCTCGATATGATTAAAGGGATTCCCCAGAAGCTGCTCGCATTTGAGATGTTTCTGGAAAAGAATCCTCAATGGCGCGAGAAAGTGATGCTTGTCCAAATTGCTGTGCCAACCCGAACAGATGTTCACGAGTGTAAGACACTCCACTTTATTTAATTTCGCTTTTATTGATTAAACTGGACCGTTCTGTTTTTCAACTCTTCTTGATTGCTTTTGGTAATTCTATTTCTATCTTTTTGCAGTAGCATGGATAAGACAGAATCAGATCGTTTTGAAGACAATGTGTTATTTGAGTTGACGGAAGGGATTTGGTCGGTGCAGATCAACGTTTGACCAGTCAGGTCCATGAAATAGTTGGACGTATAAATGGTCGCTTTGGAACGGTTACTTTCGTGCCCATCAATCACTTGGTACGTTTCTGTTTCGTGTCCTCTTCCTCATTGCACCACCTTCGAATTCTTTTATTTTTCATTTTTTTCCTGCTAGGGAGAGGACGTTTTTCGGCTTAGAGTGATAAGTGATCTTGTGAAGCAGTGTTAATTCACATTCAGTAGACAGGTGGTAATCATGCTTTATGTTTGATGTTCATTGGATATGGATTTGTGAAAATGTGACTGATACGCTCTTGAAGTCCTGAATTCTTGGACTATATTTATGTTTAATCACTTGAAAGTTGTTGGTTCTTTTCAAAAGACCAGTGTAGTGGGGATTGAAGTCCCATGAGAGGGATACTGGATATTTCTTTAATTTCCCATCCAACCTTTGTTGTTGAGACACGACTGGCATTTTCCGAGCTGATTTTAAGTGAATGTGTTCTATGTTTGCAGGATCGATCTTTGGCTTTCCACGAATTGTGTGCTTTGTATGCCAGCACAGGTATTACTCTTGGCCACTTGTAACACTTCATTTTCATGTTTGCTAAGTGTAGAGCGAGTGTTCTTCAGAGTGAGGTTACCAATTTGACATGATAGAAGTAGCCCTTGAATGCTTCTGTTTTTTGAGAATTGTTTGATCTTATGTCTGAACTCTACTTCTGTATAGATGTGGTGTTGGTGACTTCGTTGCGAGATGGGATGAATCTTGTTAGCTATGAGTATGTTGCCTGCCAGCATATGAAGAACACTGAAGGTGTACTCGTATTAAGTGAGGTCAGTCTGCTAATTTACAACTTGAATCTTTTTAAGTTACAAGAGAAAACTGTGTCTGGTTTCGTAGTGCATTTCATAAAGTTCTACTGGACTTCACTTCCGTTTGATATTTCGTTGAAAGAAAGAGAAGCACTAAAGATACAAGTAGTAAGATACTGGTCACTGTTACATTTTGTTTTGTTTGTTACGTTTTTGGTCTCAGTTACTGAAGCAAACATTCTGTGCAGTTTGCAGGAGCAGCCCAGTCTTTAGGAGCTGGGGCTATACTTGTGAATCCTTGGAATATAAGGGAGATGTACAAAGCTATCGAAGAGGCTCTGACAATGAGTGATGAGGAAAGAAAGGAACGGCATCGTCACAACTTCACTCATGTTATGACCCACACGGCTCAGGCCTGGGCTGTTAACTTTGTCAGGTGATATTGAGTACCAAGAGGCGTCCTATGCAGGGCACTGCACTTACCCAGTGTTCTAAGTCCTCACGTATGTATCCTGTGTGCACTATCCAGATATGTTGCATTCGTTCTACTTAGTTGCTGGTGGTTGCAGGTGATCGCTGAAGTTTGATGATTTGCTTCTCCAGTAACTTCTAGAATGGTGAATGTATCATCTTAAACTGAAGCAGCGACAATCTGTAATAATTATGTAACGAAATTATCGTTAATGTATTCATACATGGCTTCTTCTTGCAGCTTGATTGCAAAGATACTAACTATACAGGTTCTGCGAATGCTAGTGAGCTGAACGACACCTACGTGGAGGCTGAGCTTCGAACGCTGAATGAACCTCCAGTTTTACCAGTCGATACTGCCAAGGAAAGTTTTCGGAGGTGTACTAATCGATTACTTATTTTTGTGAGTTTTCTAGACGCACCAGGTTTCTCATTCTTCAATTGCTTCGGTTTGTGAATAATGTTTATTTTTGTGATTTCCCTTCACCGCGCGACTAGAAACATATGAGCACTCTGGCAACTTCTGAATTGATAAGTGTGTTTCTAGTTATTATTCTTCTAGGTAGGTTTCTTGTAAAGAAAGATTAGTGAGAATGGCAGCCGGATTTTTGTCAAACACTGGCGTCTATTACCGGTGCCCCTCCAAAAAGCTAGTTGAAAAGTTTCAAAGTAGTAGCGCCTGAAAAGAAGTCCTTCAGAGCTGTGAATTACCTTGTGTCGACTTTAGATTTCCTTATGTATGAATTGTTCACTTTCTAGGGTCTTATTAACACAGGATTGTGGTGCACAAATGTTGCAATCAGGGTTTCAATTCGACCATCACTGCTGCAGTGGAAGCTCCACGGCGGGATCAGATAAAGGAATCCAAGTTGGGTTTACACCCAGGCATGAAAGACTCCCTCAAGACTCTTTGCTCTGATCCCAACACTGACGTTGTCATCCTCAGTGGTAGCAGGCTGGATGTACTGGAAGAGGTTTCTCCGTTACCTCATGCATTCCATTGGGTTGTATTACAAGCATTGGGTGATCTGTGCAGGTGTAACTGTACCTGTCTGTTTGGCGTTCTTTCGAACAATTTGATATATTTTTGTTTACGGAGATTTCCAAGCCCAATAATCCGCCTCTGTTTTGTAGGTCTTTGGAGAATATGGAATTTGGCTCGCAGCTGAAAATGGAATGTATTTGCGTGATCTTAGTGGTAATTGGATGCCCACTATGGAGCATTTGAACATGGATTGGAAAGAATATGTGCAGGTAAGAGGTGTGGGCTACGTGGATGACTGGCTTATCAGAGATTGGATTTCAGTTTTAGTTCGTGTTGTTAATATTTTGTACAATGCATCGTGGCCTTCGCTGATCAGTATGGAATGATAGCGTTCTAGCATTCTTCATAAGTATTTAGTTTTCATTTTGCAAGGAAATTTTTCCTTTTGAATTTGCCAGTATTTCACTTTGTTGAGGTTTTGTTTTTACAGCGTGTATTTGATTATTTCTGCCAAAGAACGCCACGATCTTATGTGGAGAAACGAGAGACATCTTTGGTTTGGAATTATAAGTATGCTGGTATGTTCTTCATATTTCTGCTTCTTCTGGTAACAATTTTACTGCTGGGGTGTACCTTTTCTGTCAATCCATGTGAGTGAAATTTAGTCAGCTCTCTCATGATTGGATTGAGTAAATTTCCGTAGTGGAAGAGTGTCAGCGACTAATTCCGTATTAATCTATAATACTTTGCAGATGTGGATTTTGGGAAGGTCCAAGCTCGAAACATGCTCCAACATCTATGGACAGGTCCGATCTCTAATGCAGCCGTGGATGTTGTTCAAGGGCAAAAGTCGGTGGAGGTTCGACCCATCGGTGTTTCGAAGGTACGATTTTATTTCTACGTTTGTCTTTTACTGCTTTTGTGCTGTTCGATAGACATTTATGCCTCTGTTTCGATGGCAATCTCTACACGTCTATCTCAGCTAGAATTCCACCTTTCTGTACTGCTGCTTCTAAGTCAGTATAACCCACTATTTGATATCATGGTACGATCATACATGAGTTGGTGTTAGAAGATATCTTGCTCTAACTAGAATTTGAGAGTCATATTGCTTCAGAGTTCGTTTCAAATCTCATATTCGTTCAATCACACCGGTCTGTATGTTTTTACTTGAAAGTTGAATGTAGTGCAATTTTGAGAGTCACACACTGCAATAATCCAAGACATCTCTGGTGTTTATGTCGTCTTGACTCGTTACCCATTTCCACGCAAATTTGTGATGATTTGATGAAATTTATTATAATAATTCACATAATTTCTTTTCCAGTCCCGTAAGAAGTCGGAGGTTTTGGCTCTCTTTTCCCTTCCATGTTACTTGGGCAACTTATGCGTGCCCTCCTTTGACTGAGAATGACAGATCTGGAAAAATCTGCACAGGAAAGAGAAATTTTGGTTCCAAAATTATCAATCTGATGAGAATTGTTAATCAATCAAAATGAACATGCTTAATGTGGATGTTGAAGCTCATTCAAAGGCATCCGTTTTCAATTTGTAGTTCTCTTATGGACGATGTACAGTTTTGAGTACGGAAATTCAGTCTAGCTTTTTAGGGTTTCTTTGACTTTGAAAACTTAACAGACTAATGAAAATCTGCCTGACGTGGTTTATATAATATGCATTTACAGGCGTTGATTCTGTTGTTCATTTGGTTGAGTACTGTGTTTTGTAAAATTTACTAGATAGAATTCTACTTTGGCATCTAATCTATTTGTGTCTCTGCATGTGGCAGGGTGCTGCAATCGATCGGATCGTATTTGAAATCTTACGTAACAAATATCCTAATGGTTCATACACATCAAATATTCAGTTTGACTTTGTCATGTGCGTGGGCCATTTTTTGAGCAAGGTGATTATGTCAACCCTTACATTGTCTTCGAAAACATCGATAATGGTTGAACTCATGCAATTTTTTCGTTATGCTGTTATAGTCTGTTTCGTTTTCCTAGTGTTTTGACGAGTCAAAGCATTTGCAGGATGAAGATGTGTTTGCCTATTTCGATCCGGAGATAGTACTCCATAGAGATTATCGTTGCAGCAATGGAAAGATGGAAAGGAACTTAGATCCACGGTTGCCTGCCAAGTCATATGATCGCGTATCATCCAAAAGTAACAAAACAAGCGTGGTCCGGACTAAGACCTACCCACTTATTTCTCCGGATCATAATGGGTCTCATTCCAGTTCTTCGCATTCAAGATCGAACAGCTCCAAAGACGGCAGTATCTATTCGTACTCTGATAGAGACCTGATGGGAGACCTGGTGAATGTGTCGTCAGATACGTACATCTCCTGTGCAGTGGGAAAGAAACGTTCATCCGCCCGATATTATTTGGATACAGTAAACGAGGTCGTCTCATTTGTTAAGTCACTTGCTGATGCGTGTCCCTGTGAATTGGATTCAGAAGATCAATCGGTGTTATCGGTCGGTTCAGGGTCTGGTCCTCATGTGTCCCCATGTTCTGCTGATTCGTTGCCTAACGGAATCCCTAGGCATGATTTATGAATTACAGTAAAACCATTTTTTTGATATGTTACTGGTACCAGTACCAGTAACGCTACTCCAACTTGCAAGATTCAATCTACTTTGCAGTCACTATCTCTCCTTACATGGCGTTATGTCAGCTTCAGGCCTGGTTGTTTCCTGAAAGAAGTACATGCTGTGGCAAATGGAATGTGTCTGGAGTTTATCAAAGATGAGGTATCCAATGCCTGGGGTGTTGAGCTCAGTGCCTAAACCATCCTTGGTAAGTGTTGTACTATTTTCTCATTTTCCATCATTACTTCCTAAATGTAAATAAAGTAGAGTTACCATTTCGGTTAAATATGAGGATACTTTGCCATCAGGTGGAGTTGGATATGGAGGCCCTTAGCATAGAGCTAACATTGATTTGCACATGGGGTGCCTTTCTGCACAGTTGTAGCCAGCAGGCATCATTGAATATCTTGTATAAACATATCTTGTGATGATGTTTTGATATCCACATCCATGGAGCAGGTCAACTCGAGGGTTCTCTTTGCTAGTGTCCTTCTCCATTGGTTGTCTTTCCTGGAAGTTTTTCTTCCAAAGTAGTCAGAAGGCAATGCCTGGTCATTCTGTGTTGTTGTAGCCTTTTTTCTCCTTCGAAAGTATGCTTCGTCGTAAAGGAATGCATGGATCTGTTTGCGAAAAGTGTGGGTATGGGTGTGAGTGAAAATATCGTGTTTAAGTAGCACATTTGCCTTACACAATCATAGAACCATAAATCACAAACCATTAGAATGACAATCGATTCTAAATTCTTTGAGATGTGAGTGTCAGATTTCGAATTTTTTAAGAGTTCACTTCTCTAAAACAACTCTCTTTCAATATTGTTCATTTCGAAACGATTGATGACAAGCAAGGTGTAGTCCAGTTAACACTCCTAGAATTTTTACTGAATATTGGTGTGAGCACCAACTAATGTTATATACAAGCGCACACACAGATACTTACATACTGACAAATAGAACAGTAACATAAACTTGATTGGAATGTAGTAGTGACTAAAATGACTTGTAACCACCTAATTCCAAACTTGCTTTACAGCAAACAACAGTGGGTTGTGTGGAAGGGATAAAGGAATCAATCTCTACTAAACTCTGCAATCACACACACGATCCTCCAAAGTCCCCTTGAGACACTATTTTGTTTTTTTAATTCACATTCTGCATGTTTGGAATGAAAAGCAAGAGCAAGGAGGAAGAGAAGGAGAGGTGAGTTCTATCTAGTACAATGCACAAGCCCCAAGCCCAGAGGCCCACAAGAGTCTGCACCGGTGCAAGTCTCATCACGTCCAACATGTCGTCCTGACTGAAGCAGAAACTGGACCCATGTAACGGAAAAAAGCTATTCTAAATTCTCTATGTCAGACTGACGCTCAACGCCGATCGATCAGCTTCGTGTGACAACATGGGTGCCTATCATGTCACTCAGGCGGCTGTGACTTTCGTCTGTCGTGTTGACACAAGACTCATAGAGCGGTAGATATGCGTTGATCGGGTGCGAGGAGCCACAAGCAAATGTCAGTCAGTGAGGAATAACGCTCTGGTGCTCAAACGAGCTCATGGGTGAAGATCCCAAGATTTTGACACAGCCCTAGATTGCCATATGTTTGAAGGTTCGGTGAAGCGGCAGCAGAGAAGGAATCAGACACACACACAAGCGGACACACCGTAACACTGCAGATCGACGTGACGTGAGTTGACAAGTCTTTGAATGCGGGATGGTGGCGTCGTCTAACGCTCTGGGGACCGATCATCTTTTCTCTCCTGCAAAGAAGACGGCTGAACCGATCCCAAATTCTAGACCCGGGACGTGAGAACCAGCCTAGTATACTGGTATATATATACATATATAAATGTGAAAGTGTGTGTGTTCGAATCTGTGTGTGCATGTATTCGTTTACTCGAGATGTGGGAAGGAGTTGCGGGGATGCTGAGAGCGGCAGCATTCCCGAGGATTCCTGAGTTGGGAAAGGGAGGGGGGGCCTTTATTCCCTTGCATCACATCCGTCGACCAGGAAAGGTCTTTCCCAATCGGCCAAGTGCCTGCTTTTTCCTTCTCGATCTTCGCCTTCATATTAAAGGCAGTGCCTGCGGCACAAGTCAAGCTTGTCAAAATCTGAGGTTCAGTTTAGCTCCTGCTGGCTGGTTGGCTGGCTTGCTGGCTATCTGAAGATAATGGCAGTAATCGAAATGACTCTGTTCATTTATAGAATGTTTTTCGGCGGGTAAGGCCGCGGCACTGTGGGAAATCAACTCTGCGTTGCAGAGCGTGGCCAGGTAGGCAAACCAACCATGCACAGGACCCTCTTCTCCCTTCTTCGTTCTTCGTTCTTCTTCTTGTCCTCCTCTTCCGCCGATCTCCAGTTCAGTTGATGTCTCTGGTATTCCCTGCATTTCTGGCACAAGGAAATCTTTGCTTTTTTTTAATATTGCTTGCTTGTTTGCTTCGGTGGTTTGTTTGTTTTTGCAACAGGGTGCTTCTAATTCTATTTTTTTTTTTCCATCGGAAAGTTGGGATGATACGGTTGAGATTTGAACTGCCAATCAGTTTGGTGGAATTATTAGCCATCTATTTTAGGTGGTAATTATTTTGGACCGATGCTCTTGTGCGTCTGCCTCTCTTTGGGATTGTAGCAATTCGTGATAGAAAAGGAAAAAGGAAAATTAAAAACGAGATGAGGAAAAAGAAGATAACTGCCAATGTTTGGTTTCTAACGACCAAATATTTTTTGGTATACATGTATATGTATATATTTTAATAAAAATTCATTTAAAAAAAATCGTACATTTTTTTTCATTTATTTTGGAGATTTTAATGTTATGAACTTAATATGGAAAAAAAAAAAAAAAAAAAATCAAAGTCAAACACTAATCATAATTGAGAAAGATTTGTTAGACATGAAGATCTCAAAAAAATTCTTTGAGTAATCATTATAAATTATTATTGTGAAGTTTCATCTTACACTGGTTAGAACCAAAAAACATTATATGACTTTTAAGTTTTATTTAGAGTAATCACCATCATATTCTATAATATGTCTTTAATAGTGAAATTCATTCTTCAATTTAAGTTTACATGTTGACTTAAATAAAGGATTTCTTGAATAGTAAATAAAATAAAATTAGTAAAATTGAAATTACTGTAGTAAAAATACAAAATATTTTGTATGAAATTTCTAGTTTTTTCTTGTTTATTGCAAATAATTTGCTGACTTTTAGCTTATCTCATCATTCAACTGTTAATTCTTTTTTGCCTAATCCCTTTGTAATCATTGTACATATTTCCATATTGTGCTTGTTCACTCTAATGATTTATATTTTCTTTATTTCCTATGTTAACCTTGCTTGTTGGATTACACAAAACATTCTCATCAAATTGTACTTGTTGATTGATGGTGTTGTTTTTATAATAAACCTTGTGACAAATTTTTCTACCTTTTTTTCCTCTCTATATACACTAAATAAACCAATAATTTTCCTTGTCTTTAATTTTTTTGATGTTCTTTTAGCTACTATTAAAGAAATCCACATCTTATTAATTTGTATTCACTAACTTCTTTTCATCATCATCTCATTGCTATTTTTAAATGAATCTCTTTATACTTTTGCTTGTTTTTTTTTGACCTTATTGTTAAATTTTATATTATATTAATTTTTATTATTTTCTTATTTTAATCATCTCAATTGCTTTGATGATTGAACATTTTAATTATTTTTTTTCTAATTTTTTTTCCTTCTTTTATTTTTTTGTTGTCACTTCTTTTATAGATTTTAAAATGGCTCATTCCTATTTCTTTCTTTTTTTAGTTTGTTTTAATATATGATTTTTTTTCTAAATAATTTTATTATTTATTAATTATTAATTACTATATTTTTATTATACATGTTTGCTTTGACTTGGAATATGTCACTCAAATTTATTTCTAAATTTCTTGCTCTACTAAGCAAGATTGTGCTTTCTAAATATCTACTTTTTTTGCTCTATGTTTTAATTGTTTTTTCGTTTTTTGTTTTTTTGTAATGTAATTGCTTGTTTTTAAATAATGCTATTGATATCTTACACTTACTAGTCCCGTTAGTCTCATATTATTTTGACTAAGCTGGCATCAATTATTATGCTCAACTCTTTTTCCAATGTCACCTATACAATCATTGTCGTTCATTTTAGCTTGGTCTAATCTCCTTGTTGCTATCTAAAGAACAGATTTTTTTTGCATACACTTTGGTTTGTGTTTACATTGCTCTTCAATCTTCCTTGCTTAAAGTAGACAAAAAAATTCCTTAAATAAAAAAATCATTTCTTTCTTAAAAAACTTCCTAAAAAACATAAAATGTTCTTTAACTTACACATGCTAATTTATTTTATTTTTTATAGACATAAATTTTCTTACTTATCAAAAAAATAATATCACATATGAATATATATATATATATATATATGTATAGGAAAATATAAAACTGACCTACCCATTTACTAAATTAATCTACCTTATTATCAAGAACAAGGGAGAATAAAGGGGGATTGGGATGAGGGTTGATAATTGAAGAAGGGGAACAAGGGGATCAAGATGAAGAAGAGTGGGAACAAAGGAAGTGGCACTTGAGAACAAGGAGGTTAAGATGAAAAAAGATAGGAATTGAGAGAAAGCAAGAGTTGGGAATAAGGGAAGTGGAGATGAGAACCATAATTGTAAAGATGGTTTTTAGAGATGATGCAATTTTTTGGTGATGGTTATTATATAGTGGATTTATTTAGTAAATGAGTCGATTATTTTAACATTTCTCTTAATATATATAACTAAAACATTTGGGCTTAAAGAATGAGCTTAAATTTCTCTTCTTTTTCAACTACGAATAATAATCATTGATTATTTGAGCTAAAGATATCTTTAGATTTTTAGATTATATATACATATATATATATATAAAATTAAATTTATAAATAGGAATATATATATCAATAATAGAAATAAATAGATATTAATACAGAATTCTATTCACTAAAGTTTTTTTAAGATTTAACATATAGATATAAGAGGATTTTTGTCAAAACATATTTTATTTAAATTTTAGTTTAGTCCAAGAATCCATATAAGATCATAACTATATTATTATTATTATTATTATTATTTGTGTATCTTCGATTTGATTCCAAATTTAAACCTTTTTTTCCATTATTACAAGTCTTTGAATTGGAAAAATAATTATTTTAAAAAATTTAAATTAAATTTTGGAATTTTAGTTTGAGCATCTATTAAACTTATTTATATGTATTTTATTATATTTTACACCTTTGCATTAATTCATCTTTAATATTTTTTAATTTATTATTCTTTAATAATTTATTTAAAAAATATAGCCTGTGAAATATATTAGAATAAATCCAGAATATTTAGACTTACATTGTAGAATCTTCTAAATATAAGATTTATCATATTTATTTATATTTTCGAA